TTTTTCTTATAGTACACTAAGTACTTATGGAAAAAAAAGAATACAAATAATTTACACTGTGTTAAACTGTTTATCATAATTATTATTCATTCACATTAAATTTTTATATGTTAAACATTTGAGTGATTAAAAATTATCTTACTAAGCTACTAGCAATAGCTAATTGGTAAGTTTTTTTTAGAACCTCACTCATGTTCTATTAGCTTAAGGACAAGACTATTTGAAATGAGAGGAATATGATGGTCAAGCAATTTTAGTTCTCAAAATGTGCCTCAGTAGTGCCAGCTTTTCTAACTCATCTTGTAGAAAATGGCTTTTAATCCAAGAAATTTCTGGTATGAATTACAATACATATAAACAAGAAGTGCATGTATGCTAATACTTTGGAAACTTAGATACCTACATTCAATCTGGTTCTTATGCAGAATTAATTTACTTTCAAGATACACTTGTGCATTAAATTTTAAAAAAAAGTGCTGCAAAGGGAAATTTGGTTTGAATTATTCTTGGTCTAATTTTGTTAATAAACACAAACAGTAAAGTTAGATATATACATACACACACACAATTTTGTCTTCATTATAATGTATGGATGTGGCCTCACTATAACTTAAAGATTGGGTGTACATACACTATAGTACATGCTTGATATAACATTATGTTTTAGAAGTAAAAAAAAAAAATAAATCTTTATGTCAGCTATTTTAATCTCACTTTTCATGGTAGGTTCTCATTGAAACCCATAAATGTTTTGAACAGTAAAGCAAAATTTGTCCTTATTTCCCATTAGTCTGTTTTCTCAGCTGTGGTTTCCCATAATATGCATGCATATGTTTCCTTAAAAGGAAAGATGTTTATCAGACTTATATAAAAAAAAATAGAGATGGGTTAGACATAAAAAAAATGTTATTTCTTAGCTTTGTTCTGGTTCTTGTTTTTCTGAATGAACATCAAACATACAATAAATATGCATACTTACCATTAAAGACATTTTTCCCACACCTGATACATGTGTAATGTATCAAAATTAATTGTTATAAATGTTTTATATTCTCCTCTAAAGAAAATAATACATAAATATTAAATGTACATAAAATCTGCAGGTCAGATTTTGAAAAAAGTTAACTGTAACATTCTGCTACATTACCTAATTGTACCATATGAATACAAAATTTTAAACTAACCTGTTTTATTAACATATTTATTCATCTTTGCCCACTTCAGAAGGGATGACTGCTTGAACATTGTCATTTGTGAAGACATATTTTCAAAAGCAATAATACAGTTGTACTACAAAACAGCAATAGTCTTCAACTATTTCTTGTGTCGTTTTTCAGTGCAGTAAAGTTTTTTTTAAATTGTGCCTAATACAAATCATTCTATTCTCTTCTGAACTCCTGTTGAAACAGATGAATATTTATTAACAAGGAAAAGGTTGTATGCAAAGCTATCAAAATTATTAATTTTGCAACAAGTTCTACATTTCATGAAAAACATTTGCAGTACTTATAATTTATTATTTCAGTTAAATTCATTTAAAACTTTTCAATAATTTGTTCTAGTTCTACTTAAAAAATATATTTTTATTGACATTTTGGTATTAAAATAATTTTCAAAATGTTTGTGGTAATGAAAGTTTGAGAGACCCATTGAAGAATTGAAATTGCCCCTTGTTGTCCATAGGTTATTTAAAGAGAATCAGTGATTTCCTGAAAAGTAAAGGATGAGTGTTTAAGGACAGCCTTGAAGTTTTTCACTAGTTTAAAGTGTTGGCACAACTACTGCTGACAGCTTTTAGTCAATCACCCTGGCATGTAAATATAATTGTCTTAACTGGAGCCTAGCCTGTCATTTCCAAATCTTAAGCTTGTGTTCTCTTGTTTTATTATCTTCAGAATCTAGCACAAAGAGATCAGAGGCTGTAATCCTATCAATCCTTGGATAATCTTGTAAGCTTCAATAAAACCACTTCCTACTCTTCTTTTTGTAAGACAAAATAAGTTAATCTTTCGAATCACTATATTGTCACTGTTATGATATTTCAATTGGTACAACTTACATGGGTGGAAAAATATATAGCAATGAATCACTATCTTTCACATATTTCTTTCAAATCAATGTCTGTTTTGGGTTCCTAATGCATGTAGGTAAAATAATAACAAAGAATTATAGTATATGGTATTATAGCTATTGCATCCTGCCTTTACCAGCTATAAAAATATTACAGCAAGTGCATGGTTCTCTAAAGATCTTTTTTTCGTTATACTTATTTTAAGATTTTTTTTACCCAGCATAAAATATCTATATATTGCTAGAAAGATCCTTTCTTGGAAAAAGAGATGATACATTCTTTATAAATTGCACCAAACACTTGTTTTACTCACATTATTAATATTATTACATAGTGCATTAACTATTTTAATTAACCCTTCTTTAACTGTTGCAAGGGGATATATTATAATACAATCCACTTACTTTTACAATCTACATAATTAAAAGAACAACGCGTGTCAGTCAGTTCGTGCATGTATGCATGCTCGCTCACCTGGAAACCCAATATTCCTATTGTACTATTGAACAGTGGTACTTTTACATTTACAAAGGTGCGAAAGTGAATGACGCATTGTTCTATACAAGTGCAAAACTAAAACGT